AGCATACTCTCAATAAATGTGTTTTTAAATTAAACTTTCATATTCTGACCAACATATTTTCTGAATTCAGATACTTTCAAATACCAAGGCAATAGATCAAATGAGAATAATCTAAGGTTATTAACAAAATGAGGAAAATTTTTTATTAAAAAGATTCATCATACAAGGAAAAACATTTTCAAAGTGCAATGAAGAAAAGCCTCTTTCACGATGGCCACATTAATAAGACATCTGTGATTTTCCACGTGGTCTCTTTAAAAGACCCACCTGCCCAGAGCAATGGTTTTTCTTAGAGTAAAGATAGGGCTCATCAGAATTTTGCCATGGCCTGAAATATTTTGACTGAGGAAAACATATTTATCTATAAATGGAATTTTTAATGAATGGGCATTTGTGCCTGTAGAGAAGTTTTAATAGTTTAAGGGATAAGTAGAATGTTAAGAATGTGCAAAGCCCTCAACATTATGGGAAGAAAGAGATGTTTTTACAAGCAGCTTTTCATTGAAAACAGCTTAAAATATCCTGTGTAACCCCATGGCATTGTTTCAGTCCTGCAGGCAGATTTGCAAAGAGAAGCCAGGGGCAAAGTGAGGGGGCTGGTGGAATTTTCCTGTTTTTGGAATTTTAATTTTGTCTAATGGTCATGTTGCTTTAATAAGAAACATCAAAAGGAATTTAGGCCTTTTGAATCATTTTGCAAGTGTTGCTTTGTCCTGTTTGCTCACCCATGTGAAAATGGGATCATGCTCAGTGAGGACTCCTATGTGTGATATACGCTGTGGAATCAATATGGCCAGTTGGTTCAGTAAGACACAGACACTGTGTGGGTCAGATCGCCACTGTCGCAGCCAAGGGAGGTCACAGCAGGAAGCAGAAGGGTTCTTAGTTCTCACTGTGCCCAGATCTGTCTCCCAGCTGAGGGGTCCTCAGATTTCCAGAAACTTCCTACAAAACAACATCTGCACAGGGACGATTTGTTGACCCTGAGCTTAGTGACAATATGTGAAAATCTTATTTTGTAGATACAAAAACGCACACTTTTCCTACCTTACACGGTCACTGGTTTATTTTCATCTTTCTTATGCCCTAAAAAAAAGTTATTAAATCAATTGTGTGTCTTAAAAATGATGAATTCTTAAAATGGAGAAATGTGGAATATGCTTTATGTACTATAAGTACAGGTCAAATTCTACTCTATGGAACTGATCATTGAAGTGAATTTTTATTTAAAAGCAAGTTATGAAAAAAATTATATTCCCAAACCTCGAGAACTAGAGATTTTCAAAAGCTGATGCTCACACTCTGTGTCGTAAACTTGTATTTAAAAAAGATGTTGTCGGAAATTGGTAGAAAAAGGTAAAAGAAACCGTGCACAGCTTCCTTGTTGTTGTCCCAGATCTGCTTATGTTGGTATGAGGATTGAGAAGTTTAGGTTAAAAAATATATATACGTGTTTGTTTGTTTGTTTGTTTGCTTGTTTGTTTTAATTCAACAAATGGAGGGAGGAAAGGAGAGTTGCTAGAAATACATTTCACATGGATCACAGACAGGGAGGCAAATGAAATGATACTATAAAAGGATCAGAAGGAATCCTGCATAAATGTTTTCATGATTTTTAAGTGTGGAAGCTCTTTCAAAATATGGCACAAAATTCAGATGCTGTGAAGGAAAAGATCAATAAACTTTACTGCATAATAATTTAAAACATTGGGATCTCAGGAAAAGTATTTAATGACAAGTAGGAAAAGTATTGGAAACATTATTGACAGAGGGATAATTTTCTAATACAGAAATTTTCACTTGCAGTGACTACATAAAAACAGTGAAGCCAGTTAATCAAAAAGAAGCAAAAAGCAGAAATTGGTTACAAATAGGAAGTTTACAGGAACGGAAATACGGATAATCCATCAATGCGTGCGCATGCACGCACACACGACACTAAATTTTCATCTCACAACTGAACAAATAGAACAGAGAACTAGAAGAGTGTTTTTATCTATCAGAAAGGGCGAAGTTAAAAAAAAAAAAAAGTAGCATCCAGCATGAAATAGGGGAGGGGAGAAAGAGTTACCCTCCGAACTGTTGATTGGTACAAAATCATTAATACCTATAACTTCTACCTCGTCAACACCATGTCAGCTTAACTAATGAATCATTGAACACTACGTCAAAAACCATGTACTATACAGTGGCTAACTGAACATAATAAAAAAAAAGAAGTTTGTCATGTAGAAAATACGTACAAAGGTGTGCATTACAGCCTTGCTTCTAACGGATTTAAATAAATGTTGGTTCTTCTAGGTAACAGAATACTATACAGCCATATAAGGAATCAGGTAGAGCTATTTATACTGATAAGAAAAAATGTCACAGTATATTTTTATGTGTAAAAAACAACACAGGAGGCTGTGTGTACAGTCCCTTTGCATGTGTTATATCTGACTGTACTTAGGAAAAACAACAAAAATATATATGTATATACAGACACATCTGTGCGTGAATACTGTTCTGTGCAAAGAAAATATCCCCCAAACAAATGAAATTGTGAGTAGTACCTACTTCTGGGGAAGGAAAACATGTACTTTGTCTGTTGTAACTGTGTTGTTTGATTTTTCACATGCAGTTATTATATGCCTAGTAAGGTAATTCAACAAGAGCCCCTTAGACTGGGGTGGCCCTAAAGCCTTGGTAGCTGACCTGAGCCGACCAAAACCAAAGCCAGAGTCACTGTGCTTGAATCTGGGAAAGTGAAACTTTGGAGGGACCAATCCCAGTCAACCAGGCTTTCCCAAATAAGGCCACCAGTTAAGCTGTAGCCAATCAAATAATTTCTTGGTTTGCTTCCAAGTCTTCTCTGTAAACTTCTCTCCCTTAGCTCCTGTTAGGGGAGCCTCCTAAGCACTTCAGATTTGGTGCTACCAGATTATTTGAAATTTTAATGTGCCTCAGTTTACCTTTAACATGTGCATGGTCACTTACCAACAAGTTCTAATGAGGCTGTGGTGACAGGCAACTAACTATTCTGTGCCCCTCTCCACCCAACCTAGTCCTGCTGAGAGAAGAGCCAGTTTTAACCATCTCTTTTTGAACTTCTTTGGGTGGTAAATTACTAATAATTCCATAGTAACAATAGATAATAATTTTATACCATTATTACTTGATTTATTGTCCTTAGAGCTATCTTCCTCTACTGTGGGACTTCAAGTTCATCTTTCTCTGCTTGGGTTTCTGCATTTTAAAGTGACTAATGTATTTCATTTAAAATAAATGCAGGAGCTAATCGAGGGATTATATTTGTAAGGTTCTGTGAGGTTGGAATGAGCTGACAGAGGCCAGGTTCTTAGAACAGGGCTTGATATGTGGTAATCATATTTGATATGTTAATTAGGATTATTTTGTATCATTAATATTAACAATTTAATATTACTTATACTACCTCCTTGGCCCATGTTTGATAGTTAGGCTATGATTTCTAGACCTACTCTTGGTTAACTGGTAACCCTCTCCCAGTTTCTCCCAGCCTGAATGGGCCCCTTACCTCTAAGAAGACGTTAGCACTTTCATGCCACACTAGCCTGCCTTTCTTCTCTCTCGTTTCCTACATGTCTGACCTCTTGGCCCCTTCGGAGAGAGAATTCTCAGGTGTTCAATGCCCTGCTTGCCTGTGGGGTCATCTTTTGTAGAATTGTGGCTCAATCGCTGTCACTCCACCTATTTCCCTCCACCCTCGATCACCTTCTCTTGTATTGATAACATAGGGGCCAAATCTTCATCTCATGATGCCCCTGTGGGGTATGAACTCTTTCATGGAGACAAAGCCAAAATAAAGTATCCACCATCTGCAGTACTTCTGAAATCATGTATTGAATATTGCAGTTGGAGCTACATTAAGTTACTATTAAATTGAAATTATTAACTCATTTTTAAGCTACGGTACCCAAAAGGAAGACTTTCCTATTTTACTAAATTCAAACTAACCATGTTGAAGGGTTTGGGGTGCATCTGCTTGTCCTTGGGCCAATTTCTTAACTCTTGCGTGCCTCAGTTTTCTTATAAAGTAAAAATAATATTACCTCCCTCGTTAGAATTAAGTGTCTAAATGATATAATAAATTGGTATATTACAGTAGGTGTTCAGCAAATAACATGTTATTAAGGCGATGATGCTGATAGTGGTGGTGGAGGTGATGGTGGTAATGATGGTGATGATGGTGATGGTGATGATGATGGTGGTCGTGGTGATGGTGGTGATAATGGTAGTGGTGGTGATGGTGGTAGAGATGGTGGTGGTTGTGGTGATGGTGGTGATAATGGTTGTGGTGGTGATGGTGATGGTGGTAGAGATGGTGGTGATGTTGATGATGGTGCGATGATGATGGTGATGGTGGTGATGATGATGGTGGTGATGGTGATGATGGTGGTCGTGGTGATGGTGGTGATAATGGTAGGGGTGGTGATGGTGGAGGTGATGGTGATGGTGGTAGAGATGGTGGTGATGTCGATGATGGTGGTGATGTTGATGATGGTGGTAATGGTGATGATGGTGGTGGTGGTGGTGATGGTGATGATGATGATAAAGTGAAAATAATTTGTCTTATAAAAGTTGTCTGAAAGATAACAGGTTTTCAGCAAATACTACCTGTTGCTAAGGGGATGGACATGGTGGTGGTGTCGATAATAGTGATGATGATGGTGGTGGTGATAACATTTAGTGTTTTTGAGCATTCTACTAGCTTTATTCATGACACCAAAAGGCTCATGTTGACACAGACAGTCCTTTAGTCATCTTAGGAAAAACAGAGATATTTCAACCAAAGTTAATTGATTTCATTAGATACTTACGGATGCATGCATACACTGTCCTCTAGTGTGCAGGCTAAAGCTTGGTTTCTCCTAACTAGTTCCCATGTCAATTCATCAGGGCCAGACTCGCCTAAGCTCGCATCTGTTGTAGCATGGGTAAGGCTGCCTCTCTGTTGACATTTGGGTGTGTGTTTGCAGTGCCTGCATTGGGGCCCAGGACCCTTACTGTGGCTGGGACATGGTGATGAAGAAATGCACGAGCCTGGAGGAGAGCCTGAGCATGATGCAGTGGGAGCAGAGCACCTCCACCTGTCCTGTAAGTGTACATGTTCTCCAGCCTCAGAAAGCACTGTCTGTGGGAACCCAGCTGTCCTAAATCCTAACCCATGTCCTGTTCGTGCATCTGTAACCTTCCTTGCAAACCCAGTTCTGTGCTCTTTGAACTCGTTCCGCGCTGAGCTTTCGCTGGAGCCACACAGAATGTTGCCATAAGGTTTTTGTCTGCTTTGAAGAGACGCATCTTAAGAGAAAACACTGCTGATTTGCAAATGGGGTGTAATTTCTCTGTTTCATTCATGGGTTTTCTCTCCAGAGATTGGTGTGGACTCTTTTGCCTTTTTTAGCTTTAATAAAATAGTGACTTCCACACCCATCAATTTCCCATGGGAGCTATAATTCTAGAACTGAGAGAACTAGAGCTTTTAAAAGAATAAAATAAAGGATATTCCTACTGGGCTCCATGTGGGACAGTCTCCTGGATCCTGCTCAGGGTCACGGGAAGGCCTGGGAGAAAGAACATGATGGCCATTCCCACTGTGAACCCACAGAATGAAGAGACTCACTTCCACTTGGAGCCAGTTCTCTGAATCTAGGAAAACAGTTTCCTTTGCCAGTTTTTTTGTTTGAGGCCCCACTTGTAGGAGCCAGCTTATTTTTTTCCTCTGTCTTTAGAACTCTTAATGCAGTGGACTCAAACTCTTTTTTCTGTCCTCAGACCATATGAGCAATAGCTGTTAACCTCCACGTATTTGAAAACTGAGTCACTGTGCTGTCACGTAGGTGCTGATTTCTGTGACTTGGTGCTGGCTCACCTCTGCAGGGGAGAGGTGGGAAAGAAGCAGCACATTCTGTTACTTGAGATCCGCCCTCTCCCAGCGGAATGGCCGGCGCCATCGGGGCAGTCACTCTGGTTCCTATGAAGGAACCTGCTCTTTTCATTACCTAAACCACATGGTCATGAAGCCTATCCTTCAATTTGTAAGGGGAACATCATGCAAGGTGACATGAGGAAGGCCAGGGTTAGTAAAACCAGCATTGTCTCCCAAAGGCGGGCACGAGATCGAAGCCTTTTACCGCAAAGGTATGAGATCACCGCATCTGGGCTCTGAGCAGAGCTTTACAATGGGGTTCGCTGCTGGTCCTCTGGGTTATGGAGCTTCAGCTCTCTGAGTTTAGAAGCAAGTTTTTCTTCAATGTTTCTTGAAATTGATTAGAAAAATGCCAGTGTTTGTGCCAAGTTCTTTCTCATTTCTGAAAATACTTTAAAAGCATGTTCACCTTAAATCTTTGCATCTAGGGAAAACATAAATGTAGCTCTAAATTACGGGCATGTACGTTCAAAGAAATCAGCACCATCTTCTCGTATATGTTTGACCTTGCATTTTTAATGTCAAAAGGGGCAGAAGAATATAATAACAGTTCTTCTTAAGCAGTAAGGCCCGTCTATGGCCTGTGGTTTTGTGAATATCTGAGACATCTGCTTGTAAGCTATCTACTTGTAAAAAGATAAACTGAGGCATATTAAAAATTTTAAGAGTTTATTTGAACAAAAATCAATTCCAATCAGGCAGCATCTAATCTAGCAGACGGAAAGGAGCTCTGAGGAGCTGCACAAGATCCAAGACTTTCATAGACAGGAGTAAGTGGGAACAAAGAAGTTTTAGTAGGCAAAAAAGCAGGTTGGTTATTGCAGTTACTCTCCTTAGCAGATGACAGGGGTCTATCAGGCGGATGACCTAACTAGTGCTAATCAGGCATTTCCTGATTGGTTTAAGATTCCTTTTCTAGAAGAACCAAAACCGCAATTAAGTCAAGTCTCAGTTTGGTGACATGGGGCTTATTGGCATAAGAAACTCCATTTTGAGTCTGTAGGTTCTTGTTGTTGTTATCTAAGATCTATTTATTTGAGAGAGAGAGAGAGAGAGAGCGAGCAAGCATGAGTAGGGGGAGGGGCAGAAGAAGAGAATCTTCAAGCCGACTCCCTGCTGAGCTTGGAGCCTGATGCCCCTGGATCTCACATCCCATAAGATCATGACCTGAGCCGAAACCAAGAGTCAGACACTTAACCAGCTGAACCACCCAGCGCCCCTGCAGTTTTGTTTTTTAGCAGTGATATTAATTGTATATCTTTTTCCAAAAATCTGTCTCTTAGAAAGAAATGAGCTCAATGAAAATTATTAGCATTATTGCAGAGCTGTCTTAGAAAGGTATTTTTAAAAGCTATTAAAATATAATTTTGCTTCTAAGTTATTTTTTTATTTTGACTAAAATAGAAGAAAGGTTTGATTTTATTGGCCAAATCTGCATTTCATCATTTCTGATATGCCATTGTTGTTTTATAAGGACAAAATACGCTGCCATAGATTGCAAGATGCAAACTGATTTCAGAGATGTATACTATATATAAGTATACATACATGTACATACACTTGTATAGTGAAAAATCTTACAATCAGTTAAATAATTTTCTTTACCTACATATCTTTATCCAAAGGAAATTAAGCTTTATAAGCTGAGGGATTTTTGAATGAGACCATAGCATCTTATCTCCAAGGTAAAAGTGAAAGTTTAGTAATGAAAGTGTAGATGCTGCCATGTGGAGCTCAGTGGGAGTTAGGCAAACATGGGGTACAATGAGGGTAAAGCAGACTCTGTGGGAACCTACCAAGTAAGTGTTCATGAACTTCAGACAGGTGATGTAGCACAACCCAGTCCCCCAAAGTCAGTGCTGCAGTCGGAACCCAGGCAGATCCTCTGCTGCCTGGAGAGTTCCACTTGGTGTAGGACCCCTGGAAACCCTCCTGGGGACTTAGTGCCCAAGATGACCTATTTTCCACTAAAAGATTCCTGCTTTAAAACGTTTGTGGATTTCTATCATCCAGGAGACAGGGCAAGAGTTGAGTGATGTATAGATTAACATTCTGGTGGCTTATGTAATTTTAATTGAACACATTCTCGGTTTACGGGATATGAAGTGCTCGAGCAAGATCTGAATTTACAGATTCAACTTGCAATGTTGCTTTACAAGGATAGCATTGTCTTAAGAATCTCCCTGGGCTTTACTGAAGCCCGAATACCGTCCATATCCTTTGCAGGTACATGATTACCAGTGTACTATCTCATACAGTGGCTCCCTGCTCCAAAATACATCATGCAATAACTAGGAAAATACGTATACTTCATAAACACCTCGATGTCTTGCAATAACTGGCTCTTTCCCAGGACGCTGTGTAAGTAGCACCTTTGCAGTGAAAAGATACTGTAGCAATGCTTGAGCCCAGAGCCCTCCATTTAGATAGCGGCACCATGGAGCACAGTCTAAAGGGTTTATAGAAGATTCTAAAACTACATTGGGAAAGAAATCAGGACTTAAATCCAGTGCTTCTGACATTATCCCCAATCTACAAGATAGTGACATTTCCAGCTGCCAACCTCTCCCCAGAGCAGTGACTGATGGGTGCACCCACCGATAGGTGACCCCATGGTCACCTTGCATATTATGCTCAGATAGCAAGTGAGACATTATTTCTAAATTTTGTACTGAAATCTATTCTAGAAGAAGGAAGAGGGAGCTGAGGTTAATTGTGTGTCTACACCATGTGCTGAGTGTTGTGTTAGGCCGTTTCAATGGATTATCTCATTTAATGTCATGATCACCCTGGGGATAGGCATTAGTGCTCCCATTTTAAAGACTGCCCCTATTTGCCCATCCTGTCATAGCCCATAGCGCTCCCGCTTACTCCTCTTCAAAGGTGCTAGGTTTCCCTCGTGCAGTTCGCTCATGGAGAGAGATTTAGGGATATTACACTGATATTATAACATGAGAGTCCTTTCCAAGGAGCACATCCAATATCCTGTTGTGTTAACAATCACTGACCAAAAAGGACATGAACTTTGAAAATAAATGAAGATCTTTTGACTTCTGAAAAAACATCCCAGCAGAAGAAAGAAGACTTTGATTTAACTATGAGGATAATAGTTGGAGTACAGAAGAACTTCAGGATGTACTCCAGGGATCTCTGTACCTATCGAATGTATCTACATCCTTGGTTACTTGGGAATTAATGAATTGAACATGAGTGAATCAAATGTCGGATTATAGATTATGCTTGCTAACAAGAATTGCATCTTCCTTAGCTGGCACTTGGGAATCCATTATTTCCTAGGCAAAGGGAACTTTGCTATTATAACAATTGGGGATAAAATTGTACGGTGTTGGTTTCCAGGAGACACTCATCAGGGAAGGATCTATGAATCACATTACGGAATGAAGTGGCTGAGATCACAGGCTCTGAATTAGCTTGTTTAGACTGATTCTTGGGTCTTTCACAACCAGTGAGACTCTGAGTCAACTGAGCTTCATCTGAACCTCAGTTTGCCTATCTGTGAAACGGGATGCAGGTACCAAGAACATTGTGAACATTGCAGAGTTAAGACATCGAAATCACTCATCACAGTGCCTGGCATACACTAAACTTACCTATATGTGATATATGTCTTACTATGGCTTAATATATAATATCTAATAAAACAAAGCACATACCTCAAATAGAAAGCCACTTGGCAGAGACCTGGAGATAGCACAACTGGAGAGAATATATTCTAGATAGCTTTATTTCTGATTTCTAAGGAAAACTAACAACATATAAAAATACTTACTCATGTGGGAAAGGGGAGTAATAGAAACCTACCCCATTACTCACAGATCTGTTCCCTAGGCAGATTCTCAAATTCACATATTCAGCGTCAAAAGGAGGGTATAGTTAAATCTAATGAGAGTTTGCCCACGTGCTTTTCTGCATGTTGCAAGTTCTTCTTGCTCTGAAAGTTAATGGAACTGACTGCAGTGGTCCTGGGTGGAAAACACTGCCCCTCAAAGTCTGCAGTTACCCCTCCCCTGGCCAAAACAGAAAGCCCCCGCTCTTACCCTGCAAATTGCAATCATCAAATACTTTTACTGACAAGTGCCCAGCACGGTTCCTTTTCTTTCCAGTGTTTTTATTGCAGTAACTGTTCTATGCTTTTCTTTAAGATTTTATTTATTTATTTGAGAGAGAGAGAGAGTGAGAGAGAGCGGGAGGGTCAGAGGGAGAAGCAGACTCCTCACTGAGCAGGGAGCCCAATGCAGAGCTTGATCCCGGGATTCTGGGATCATGACCTGAGCTGAAGGTCGTGATCAGTTGGCTTAACCAACTGAGCCACCCAGGCACCCCTTTTCTACGTTTTTCTACCTCATTCCACAACATTCTTTCATTTATCGTCACTTATTTCAGGTTCATCCTCTTTTTCTCTGTCTTACTAGCTCATCTTTTGCTCATCCAGACATTTGGACAGAGAACATGCATAGCATCTCTTTGCCTAGAGACTACTATCTTACACCAGTGCCCAAAGGTTGCAGGGGGAGGATGTCTAGTGCAGTGGGTTCTTTCTTTCCCTGTGCATTTTACTGAGATATCATGTCAGCACCACATGAGGTGAAGGCATACAGCATAGTGACATCACTTGCCTAAACTGTGAAATGATCACCACAGTAAGTTCAGCTAACCGCCATCATCTCACGTAGATACCCCCCCCAAAAGGTTTTTCTTTTCTTTGTGAAAAGAAGGATCTCCTCTCTTAGCAACTTTCAAAGATCCCATCCAGCAGTGTGAATGAACTCTAGCCCTCATGTGGTCCGTGATATCCCCAAGACTTACTCATCTTAAGACTGGAAGTTTGTACCTTTCGACCCCCTTCCTCCGGTTTCTCTCCCCCACCCCCATGTCTGTCTCTCTGTCTACCTGCCTGCTTCTCTCTCTCACTTTTGGTGTTTCTACTTGTCTCTGTCCTGTATTGAGTTCTTTTCTAACCACCCTACTGATAAATTTAGCTTGCACGAAGTTTACTGGGCTGTGAGTTTGACTCATGACCGTGCAGTCTAAATGTGTTTCTCTCGTAAACTGTCCTCTTTCAACAATCTGGATGATTTCTGTTTCCATCCTCATTCATTTGTCATCATCAAGGTGTATTTCTCCTGGCCTCACAAATCTTCAGTTTCTCCACAGTCTGTGCTGTCAGGGGTTTCAGATTTCCTCAAAACCTCCTGTAGCTAAAGAGATCCTAAGAGTCTCCATGCGCATTTCCTTCCTATGTTAGAGGAAAGAACAGATACCAAGGGGGTTTGAGAGAATCTTCTTTGCCCCCATCCTCTAACCTCTCGCCAGTCTGCCCTTTTTAAAGTTTCTGGTTAATATTGTGGGGATTTCGTAAACCTTCAAAAATCACCGTAGCGCCCCCTCCCTACCTTACCCCTCACATCTTCACACAGAAGAGAGGCAGGGGGACCAGATGTCTCACAGAGCCGCTCCTGATAGTGCTCGGAGCTGGGCGGTCTCCATCCCCTCCCCAGCCACTCTCTGCCCCACGGGCCTCGTGTGCCCCACTCCCAGCTTGCCCCCCAGCCAGGATTCTCTGTTGTCTTGGGTTCAGACCGCAGGAGGCATGGGCGGGGAGCAGAGACACTGGGGTTTTCGTCCTTGCCCTCCTCCAGCTTGGCTGCAGCTCGGGGGGGAGGGAGGCTTCCTGTCCCTGTGACAGCCCTGTCAGGCCGCCCTTCCCCCGGCGCTGCCCCTCACTCAGCTCCCATTACCTGTTCTCTGTCCCCAAAAGGCCTAAGATACGTACAGGTTTGGATTTAAAGGCATGCGGGGCTTTGTTGGCTTGAGTTCCGTGTTCAGTCACAGTGAAGGCAACGGCTGAGCCTTCCCTGCACAAGAGCCCTTTGGGCCAGAGACGAGAGCGGGTGGAGGATGGATGTGGGAACCCCCAAGGGACAAGGTCTTGGCTGCTTGCAGGACACTTTCATGGGAGGAATTCGCTTGACTCTGTTATGCGTGGCTCGTCTCTCCAAGAAAACACTGAAGGCCCTGCGGAAACTGAAGGTCACAATAGGAGCTGCATTTTTATCCTGGCTGGACGGGGCTGACAGCAACCTTGAAATTGGGGATATTTTCTTCTTGGGAAAAGTCTGCCTTTGTGTGTTCACTCCCACTCTGGGTCGGGTCCAGTGAGTCCCCTCCAATCCAGCTCCATTCCCTCCTCTTCGCTTTTTATGGAGAGAGCCAGGCATGACAGGGAATTCTGGATTTTCCTCCATCTTCGTGGATATAAATGGTTAGAGTATTGACAAGAATGGAGGAAGGAGAGCTTCGTAGTGGAGGCTGGAGATGACCCACCAGCCACATCAGAGCCCGCGGACGTGTTTCGTGGGGATTCTTTCCTACCGTATTTGGAGAAATGACGGGACAAATGTAAAGCTCACCTGTGTTTTCACAGGGTGTTGGCATTTTTCTGAAATGATGACGTGCAGGTACGGTTTGTAGCCTCTAAAGAATGAATCGCTTTGTCCATGGAGTCCTCTCTTGTGAGGATGATGGGGCTTTAAAAGTGCCTTCCTAGATCCCGATCCTGGCCCCGCGTGCTTGCTGGCCAGCCAGCCCCTCTGCCGCCGCGTTGCCGGGCCCAGAACTCGGTCCTTTGGGCCTTGCACCAGTGCCCGGGATCAGTGGATCGCTTTCGTGCCCAGCCCTTGCAGACCTGCAGGCGCTTGCCGGGTGGTTATAGTTGGCTCCGCCCGGGATGTGCCTACCCAACTAGTACAGTTCCGGTTGCTTTAATAGGGCTATAAATTTAATGTTGTCAGTTTTTGCGGTGACATTTGAGCTAGGCCAGGTCTGAAATGGAACTGTTTGAACTTCCTTTTTTTTTTAAGGGGCGTAAAAATGCAGCAGAGTCGCACATCTGTGATTTTTCACTCCGGTTCTGCTTGTTCTTTGGGTTTCTCACGTTAGTGGACAATTCTGTGGTGACCTGATTGCTAAGCCATTGGCATTCTTCGCACCCCTCCCCCGCCTCCAGCACTGTCTCCTCTTTAATGGTAACATCAGAATATTCTAAATGTGGTCTGATGGTGCCATGAGAGACCTTTCAGTTTTCCCGTTTACAGCCTTAACCCTTGCTGACTTCTCAACTTGTATCCTCCTCCTAGACGAGGAATCTCACCGTGGACGGGCACTTCGGCGCATGGTCTCCGTGGACGCCCTGCACGCACATGGATGGCAGCGCCGTGGGCTCCTGCCTGTGTCGCACCCGCTCCTGTGACAGCCCGGCCCCCCAGTGTGGCGGCTGGCAGTGCGAGGGCCCCCGCATGGAGATCGCCAACTGCTCCAGGTGCGTACCCAGCCCCCAACACCGGGTGCACCCCCTCCCCCACACCGGGGCACCCCCGTGTGGGCGGGCAGACTGGGGAGGGGTGGGAAATCCTTCTTAGCGCACATTCCCTTTTCAAGAGAGAGGTGGCAAAAGACAGGGACACTTACCACATAAAATAATGTGATCTACGGAAGGAGATTTTAAATTATAAATTAGATCATAAATCTAAACCTGTGCAATATGTTCATTGCTAGATTAGGAAACATATTTTTAATGGGCATGGTGTTACTGGACTGGTTTGAGGGAAATGTCCATGTCAATCAAAATCATCTTCTGGAACATCCAGGCTAATAGTCCCTACTGGTAGAACGCATACATTTGTTGTGAACTGACCACAGGGATTAGACCTGGCTCTTCACAATTGCCTTTTCCTTTGCCAGCATCAGTGACCCCAGTGTCTAGAATCACGTGAGTGCTGTCGACCCTCCACCCTGACCTCGCCATTAGGTGGTTCCTGAGAATGAAAGCAGGTCTGAAATCAGATTTGACCACACCTAGACAACTGACACAGCCAATTGGTGCAAATGATGGAGTCCCAGCTCCCTGTCCCTGAGGCGTGCTGACATGGACGCACGTGGAGGTTTATGGAAAGCAGATGCGATGCTTCTGGCGGCACATTAGCCAACATTTTAGTCAGACCGGGCAAAGGGAGCCTCTGCTATCAAGGCAGACACTTCATGAAAGAGAGGCCCCAGTCTTGCACCTGATCCCTGCACAAAGATGCATGCATAGTATATCAGCTCACCCAATCCTAACGCCACTTAATGCATCAAAGGAAAATTATTCCTACGGCCCATGCATGTACTAAAAAGCACCCCCTCGTGCAGATTCGGGAAGCGACATGCAGTTGGCCTCCTCTGAGTGTGAGCAGCAAGGTAGTGTAGTTTTGGTAGTCTCAGAAGCTACCCATTGAGTCAGTATTCCGAAATCTGTAAAGGACAGATCTGGGGGAGCAGCTAGAGTGCACATGTCCACGCGTATACAAGGCGCATTCACCGTGTTTGTACTTGGACAGTACAAGTGTCCTGGGGCCATGGTCCTCACAGCAACTTGTCCGTTGCCCCGTGAAAGAATATTACTAACCTAAATACCCCTCAAACACTTGTAGATTGGCATCTAATTTTTTTTCATCAAAAGTTTTAATGGTTGCGAAGAGGTAATTTTTGTTACATCACTATTTAAATGTGTAATGGAATCTCAGTGGCTTAGTGATTTCATAGCTACCTGCCCATTTAAAAAATCAATAAGCAGGCTCCACTTTAACATTTAGAAAATTTATGTGTTTCCTTCTTTAATTTCCTATTTCTGTTCTCTTTCCCTCGTAGAATCTGATCCTAATATTTTACATTTCTTTGTTTAAAAGTCTTATATTGGTCACTATATCATACTTCTCTACAACTACCACAAAAACAAATTATATGAATGACATTTGAAAACAAAATTTTTATTTCTGATAACCATAGGCTTTACATTTCATTTTTTATTTTTATATTTTTTAAGGTTTTATTTGTTTATTTGTCAGAGAGAGAGAGAGAGAGAGCAGAAGCAGGGGGACTAACAGAGGCAGAGGGAGAAGCAGACTCCCACGCTGAGCAGGGAGCCCGATGCGGGGCTTGATCCCCGGACCCCGGGATCATGAACTGAGCTGAAGGCAGATGCGTAACCGACTGAGCCACCCCGGCACCCCTAGGCTTTACATTTTAAATATGTATTTTGAAAATCAGCATACAGTGAATCTAAAAATCATAAATATTACACATTTTGATAATATTCTAACACTAAAAAGTGAGGTTTTATTAGAAACCCATTCCTTCAGGCAATTGTTTTTAATTCCCAGCTACTTTTCCTATTTATAGGCATGAATGCAACCTCTTGCCTGATTCAGGGAGGGCTTAGCATCAATTCCATTCTTAGGTTTTTATTTTTCTAGTTACAAGCACCGACAGGTATGACTCCCATAAGTTGATGGAAATATAAGATTACAGCATTTTCCCTCACTTCTCTGAATTCTTTCGAAGTCATCTGCCAAAAGCATGGTAATCTAACACCAAAGATTGTTTTTATTGGCCCATATCACTTGATAACCTGCTTATGTTGGTGTTTAATTTTGTTGGAAGCAAAAAAAATTGCAACCCACCTAACCTGCAAGCCGACTTTTTTGCTCATTCAGTACTGACAGATACTTCCTCCGTTTGTGCAGAGCAAGTCAGAAAGCCTTTAAGAAGGCTGATCAGAGGACTCCAAATTAAACCTGTTATTTGTTATTTATAGGCACCTTGTCCAACCCAATACACTCAGAAAGTGTTGGGAAATTCCAAATATTGCTAATTCAATACATTTTGCAAATGTATCTTTGGATTTTTTTAGGATTTATTTATTTGTGTGTGGTGGGGGGAGGGATAGAGGGAGGAAAGCAGACTCTCTGCTGAGCACAGAGCCCTTTAGACCCTGAGATCATGACCTGAGCCAAAATCAAGAGTCAGACGCCCAACCGACTGAGACACTCGGGCGCCCCACAAATATATTTTTGATTAAATGCTTTTATCACATCACATCATTTAAATATGTTTTTTCAATATCCTGGAGCCCAGATTGAAGTCATTCAATGTATGAAATGAAATCCACAATATAAAGTAATTAGCTAAGCCAGACTTTCTAAACAGGGCCAAGTCAGACTTAGTATCGAACAGAAAAATCTGGTTTTACGTTATAATTAAAATGAACATTTGACTGTGCATCCGCATGACATCATGACACTTCTGAATTTGAATTCGTAAGAGAGGAGGCAGGGAACCTTGGGGAGAGGGAGCAGAGAGAGAAATATAACTAGCCTGATGGGAAGGGAGAAGGTCAGAGGGAGGGAGGACAGCTCTGTGCTGTAGGCCTGAAAAGGACTCAGCTGATTGCACAGGGAGCCCTGTACGTGGGACAGCCCTTGACAGTGGTTCGATTCTCTCAGCTGCCAGTCCTAGCTAGCCCTGAGGGGCTGGAGAAATGAGTGCCTCCATCCCACTGTGGGGCATGGCATCCAGTACTCTGTGCTTTGACAGCTAGGGGGTAGAAGCAACCCAGGCCTTAACAAAGCTCTGCTCTGCTCTGTAGTATATCTGAGCCTAGGACACCCCGGCTCAGTTAACATCCTGGTACCGAGTAACCAGGAGAACGGTTCCAACAGTGATTCATTGAGTTGATTTCCTGTTTCCTCTGCTGCTTCTGATGTTGTAGCTTGATTGTTTTACTACACTCAGGTGCTCCTTCTCCCCTGCACCTGTGTGCCATGAGGACACAGCATCTTCTGTCTTAAAACAAGCATCAGGAAAGCTTCTCAAATCAGTCTTCAAGCACTCTCCTCACTTGCTCGTTAATTTACAGTATTTTTTTTTTAAAGTATTACCTCGTTTCCATGAGCCTGTTTAGAATGCAGAAGCCTCTGGGCAGGTCTTCTGTGACATCCCTAACACAGCAGATCAGACCGGGCGATGACACTCTGAGCGAGCCCAGAGTGCGAGGGCACTTCCTACCCAAGGGGAGAGGCCGGTCGGATGCGGAGCCGCAGGATGCGAGGACCCACTCTGTCCTCTGCTCTCCTTCTCCTCAGGCCAGCCCAGATCACTTCACAAGCCCTTCACAGCAGCGCTACACAGATTCGATTATTTGTGTGACCGCAGAAAACAGGCACATCACCATTGCATTATGCACAGCATTCTTTCTATAAAACTAAGATGGTTGCCATCTAGGCATGGGAGAAACTTCATAAAAGTTACAGAATGTTACTGTTTGAAGGTTATGATCTCAATATATATATCAAAGGAATATCCTCTTTGATACTGTTTATGAAAAAAAAGGACAGTCAAGTGCATGACTGCAACTTGTCTATTGATACATCTTTGGCTTTGGTTCTAGTTGAAATGCCATCCTCTGAGCCGACCTGCTATATATAATTAGTGGTTATTTTAAGATTAGTAATTGAATAAGTGAACCCATTTTAGTGATGCTTTAAATGCATAGTGGGTTGTTGTGGACGGACTGAATCCTCGAAATGATGTGTATGCTGATATATGCTTACTTGGTGCTACTTAATGGCTACAATGTCCGGTCCTAAGCAACATTTATAAGACTGCAAACCCGGGTCCATACAATAGACACACACAAAGACAATTGCACTCATGTAGTTCTTCACATACTATATTTCTGTTACTTATACACACTTCCATTTACCCACTTCTCTGTCTACAACAGGTTCCCTATATTGTAAATAGACGGTATCACAAGTTGTCATGTTTATTAAATGGTTTAGGAAATTAAGAATTAGACAAATTTAAAAATTACACAATTTTGGAAGTAGTGTTTCCTGCACTACCTAGCCATTTTGACAACATAGAAGGAAACTTTGAAAGTAAAAATGTCATTTTATTTATGTTGAAATGGCTATTTTTTAGAAAATTCAGTGAATTACTTGGGTAACTTTTTAAATTGTATAGGTAACAAGGTATAAGATACTAGCTAATTACCTTTATGAGCAGCTTGGGAGGATTTGTCTTATTTTGTGATTACTTGGTTAAATTATCATAAAGCAGCTTTATGATAAGATAATAACATTAAAGTATCACTATATATTTTATTTATATCATGAAGACGTTTCAGAAAGTAGAGAAATACGAAATATACTAAGAATTTTCTCAGAGGAATTTTCACTTGAAACTATTCTAGAAATTATATATTCAAATTATTATTTATACCTTGAGCTTCAGTGGCACAGTTGCAGACCTGCATATTTTTAAGGGAATGTATAAAGTAAAAATAAGAATTAATGTCAGTTGATTTTTCCCAGTGGAAATGAAAATCCTATGAAACTAACATACTATAGAAATGCATATGTGATCTGTGAAATGTAAACATACCCCAGCTGCAGTAGACTGCTCACATGGGAGTTTGGATTCTGGATTTAACAGATATTTTGACAGTTAAAATTTTTAAAAATGCTTACAATTTGTTTTGAAATAGCAGGGACTAACTACTAAGTTAGTAGTTAAATATCTTCCTACTAAGGAAGATATTTAAATTATAAACATTCTGAATACAGGCATTTCAAGGGAAAAGTACAATATTAAACAAAAAAAAAATTCCTCTAGCTGTCAGTAGTGGTTCATTTTATAAACCACTTTTATACAAGCTGTTTATTTTATTTTAATTTTATGTTTGATATGCCTTTCATATTATATTTATTAATAACATAAATACAGTTATGTGCAGTTTGCACTGCTTGTTTATATTCTATATCTTTGTCAAACTGTAAGAAAATAGCCAAAAATCTGAATTTCACGTACCCTTCCTTCAGTTTTAATAAACTTTGTTTTAAAGCTTTGGACATTATGATGCTCTTTATCAATATGAAACCTATCGAGAGAATTACTGATTTTTGTTGATGTTAATAGATTTTTAAAAGTGAGCATTATAGGTAGTTTTAGATGCTATTTCGTTCAGATGTGCACTTTTTATAGATTCTAAATGATACAGTACAAGTCAAAGCATAAACTCTGGAGGCTCAGGGATTTATCTCTAATTGCTTTTCAGCGAAATAAACTTATTTTTCATTAGTTTAACATTTTCATAACCAAATTTTTTAATAGTTTCTAATATAGAATTTTCTCAGAGGAATTTCCTGAAATTATTATAGAAATTCTACATTCAACTATTATAGAAATTATATATATATGTAGAAATTTATATATATTCAAATTATTATTGATACCTGGATATAGAACAAATTATTATATCTTATTTTTAGTGCACTTTAAGCGCTACTCTCCAAGGTGCAACCTGGACTCTAAAATCAGATAGCCAGGAGGAGCAGGATCTCACCGAAACCGAGAGTCCCGTGACACAGCACGTCCAGTCTTGTCCGGTGGTTCTGGTTCCCTTTCCCTTCCCAGCCCACAGTCCAGCAGTCCACACGCGGGACACATGAAGGCCGTTGGCGGTGGGTGCACACAGGGAATGGACTCTGAGACAGTGTGACTTTGTGACCCCGCTGCTTTCTCTCCCCAGGAACGGAGGCTGGACCCCCTGGACCTCATGGTCTCCCTGCAGCACCACCTGTGGGATCGGCTTCCAGGTGCGCCAGCGGTCCTGCAGCAACCCCACTCCCCGGCACGGGGGCCGGGTGTGCGTGGGACAGAACCGTGAGGAAAGGTAGGCACCGCTCTGCCCCCAGCACCACCATCGTCACGCTTCCTGCCATTCTAGCGTGGCCTGGGTTCTGTGCGGGTTTAGTTTGAGATGTCGCTTAGCTTATCTGTGGCATCCTTTTCTGTTGAGCCAAATCGTCCTGTTCTCTTCCTGACATCCTTTAATTTGGATCAAAGCCTCGTGTTGACAACATCTCTGTGCCAGCCACAGCAGTGCTCGAAATGTTGGCTAGCTGAGCAGTTCCCAAGGGAGCAGAGATGCAGGGACAGTGGGCACCTCTGTGGGCTGGGCTCCCTGGGGACTCAGAAAGGGAGTCGGCTGGAGAAAATTTGTTCTAGTTAGAATTCAACTAGACCCAGTCTCAAAAGCTGCAGTTCCAAGTAGGACCTAAGGCGGATCCTTGGGTCCTGGGTCCCGATGGAAGCAGTCGGATGAAGTAGAGTTTTCCATCAGAATTAAATCAAGCAGGTGGAGCAAGGTGAGAACATAGGGTCTGGGGGTATTTATAACCACACACTCCTCTGTTAACTCCTACCCTCAGGAAAGCTGCAGTAGAACCCAAAGGGGCATCGTGTTCCACTTGTACTGTAAGCTTTCAGCTCCTGGGGTGGCGGTGGGGTGTTGGTTCTGTCCAGTCTCGAGTTGAACAGTTTGTTGCTTTTCATAGAATCAGATATTTGGCTTTGGTATCATAAAATCCACAGTTGTGATAGTTGGCTCTTTCTTGCATATGTAAAATACATTCTGGTTTATGATTTGGGGGAGAAAATCTAAGCAGGTGCATTTCACATCACTCAGGATTTTTATTCTGCCATACTGATAGAAATGTATCAGTTGTGTGAAACAAAATGTCTTTCTGTGCCTTTTAAATTAAAATGTAGTAAGGATTGTGTCTGGTCATATGGGTTCAGTGAGAGCCTCTTATAAAAATACCGTATGCAGTTATTTGCTATGTGATCAAATATTTATATGGACAAAACCAACAGGTTTACTCTACAGATAACTCCCTGCTAGGCATTTATTACGACCTCAAAACAACCTGGGAGAATCATTCCTTTCTTTCTTCCCTGTGTTCCTAAATTGCCAATTAAGATTTCATTCCTTTTGTCTCAGAGGAAAATGAAAAATGATTTTTAGAAAGCAAGGTTGGTCATTTTTGAAGTAGTCCCCTGAGACAGTCTTGTGGAAGTCTATCATTTCCGATCCAATACCAGCTGAGAAGTGGGAAAGCCGATTATGGGCAAATTGTCTCTCTGCTATTTCTAAGCTTTGTAAGATTTAAAATTGTTTGGAAGTTTTACAATTCTGTGCATTGTCACATAATACAGCCCATTCAGGGAAAGTCACCTTCATCAGTGTGACGCTGCCCTGCAGACCCAGCACCTCTGCAAATCTAATGCCTGTTAGCACCTTTCTTAAGCTGAGTGCACAGGAAGGAAGATGCTATTTAGCGCTGCAGCTAACAGATACGTACATTTCTGTATGTGCTTGGGATTGTTTGTAAGGCTACTACCTTTTCAGGGAAAAATCAGGATGGCTAGCGTGTTTGGGGGACTTACACTTAAAATGCTCCCTTTTTACAGAAAAAAAATTCTCATTTGGACAAGATACATATTTTGTCAATAGAGGAATCTTTGAATGTGTATAACAAATGGGTAGATGGTAAGAATAGGGACTCTGTAAGATTTTTATACAATTGAAGCTTCCCCATTGAACAGCCTTTCTAGGGGGCTATCAAAAGGTTAATGAAATCTAGAAAAAACCAGTACATAATATCTATTTCTTGGTCTTCACAAGCAAACAGTTCTGAGATTTCTTTGTTGTGTTATGTGGGAGCTGTCTCTACCTGCGTAATATAAGAGAACACCATCCCTTAGATATTTGAGAACTAAACTCAAGATTCGAGGAGATTCTGGCCTCCATGGGGAGGCACAGAAGAATGATGACTAGACACGTACACAGTAGTACCATTGCACCCTTTTGCTCTAAACACCATCAACCCACCCCAAAGAGCTCCCAAGTGGCCGCGAGTGAATAAATTGATTACCCCAATAAAGTCCCTAAGTTAAGGCCAGGATGATAGTTAGTGACTTCATTTGGATCCAAATGCCCAGGATGTGGAGTAATTCAATGGGAATTTTATGGCAGCAAAAATCTCAGAAGTATCACGTCATTTTTTCTGAAGGACCGGATAAAGAAAATAATCTAACTTATCTTTTACATGCACTTTAGAGGACGTGAACACTGTTTTTCTTGTTCTAAAATTTACTGGCAAATGATCTTGAGAACCAAGAACCCAGTAGAAGCACTGATTCCCAAAGAGGCCACTAACAAGGATAAAACAATGGACCTCTGTGTTAATACTATCAAAATGCAAGTGTCATTATCTGTATTCGTGTTCTCTTCCTCTGTAACCATAGTTCAGAAACTTCATGGCGTAAAACAACACGCATTTATTACTTCACCGTCTTAGTGGATGAGGAGTTTCACTATGACTTCCCTTGGTTCTCTGCTCAGCCAGAGCTGTGGTCTCATCTGGGCATTGACTGGGGAAAGACCTGCTTGTAAGATCATGTGGTTGTGGTTGTCAGCATTTAGTCCCTTATGGACCGTCAAATGGAGAACCTCCGTTTCTTGCCAAATGAGCTTTCCCAACACGGTCACTTTCTTCCTTAAATCTAGCAAGGAAGAAAGTCTCCTCCCGGGATGGGCAGTATGGTTTTGTATAGTGCAGTTGCAGAGTTACATGCCATCACCTTGCCATATTCTGTTGGTTAGAGGTGACAGACCCTGCCTACACTCAAGAGGGGGACATTACGCAGGGCATGAATACCGGGAGGCAAGGATCGTTGGGGCCACCTTGGAGTATCTGCCACAGTCAATTATATGTCCCTTGGCCGTTCGTGTCCCTTCCCTGTGCAAAATGTATTTCACCTATTCCCAAGGTCCCCAGAAGTTTCATACCATTAAATCATCTCCTCAGAAATTCCAGAATTTTATTGTTTAAATCAGGCTCAGATATGAATGAGGCTTTCTGGATGTTGTTCCTCTCAGTCTGTCAGCCTCTAAAATCAGAGTCAAGGTATCCACCACCAATACACCCAGCACATGACGGGGGGAGGGGCAGAGGGTAACAGCTACAGACATTTCTGTTCAAATGCGGGGGTGGGTTGGGGTGGTGTGGAAAGTATAGAGGAATCACTGCTCCATAGAAATTCTGAAATCTAGCCAGACAAGTGTTGGGAGTTGCTCGATTAAGTTTCAAGGCCTGTGCATAATTCTGCATGGTTCTTGGCTCTGCCTTCTGGGCTCTCATTTCTGCTTCCTGACTCATCTTTCCTTTCTCAGGGAAGTATGTGCTTGCGGCTGGGTAGTTGTACCAGCCTGTTTCCTGCCGGTAGAAGTCTGGATTCTGGCAGCCTCATTCCATTTGTACTTTCTCCGTACATGTCAGCGCAAGCTGGTATTTTGGCTGAAATAAACTTTATGGGTCTTCTGTGGATTTCCCGGAGGTTTACTCTAGTAAACAAATCCACACCCACAGCTCTTTTTTGAGATAGCCCTTCTCTAGCCAGGGATCCTCCTGAAGACTGAGGGGCCACACCCTGTGGCTGGCTTGTGACGGAGACCATCTGTGGGGCCCACCCTTGCTCCTGACCCCCTGGGAGCACCCCCTGTGTAACTGAAACTACTCTGATCCTTCGGTCTTTCTGAGGTCTTAACAAAAGGTTGTGTCCTTACACCTTCGGTTTTTTATTCTCTGCCAACTGTGACAATGCTCAGAAGCTATTTATTGATTGTAGCATATTTGCCATCAGGAGAGACTCAGAATTTCCATAATTAGTCCATCCTGCTCCCTCCTGTTTGTTATTCCTTCCTGCATTTTTTTTTTTCTTTCCTCATACATTTTACCATAAGCAGCAAGAAGACACCGGGCAGCACTTTGCCTGGAAATGTCCTTGGCCGCGTAACTCACTTCACACTGACGTGTCCCGCTTTCATTAGAACCGCAGCAACAGCCCAGAAGCTTTCTGCCTCATGTCAGAAGGCTCTTCCTACCCCTGGTTTCCAATCCTGGGCTCCTCTTTCCTTTCAGATTTTGGTGGCGGTAAAATATATTTAACCTCGAGTTTGCCACTTAGCCATTTTTAAGTGTTCGGCTCAGTGGCATTAATTACATTTACAGTATTGTATAACTATAACCCTATCTGTTGCCAACACTTTGTCATCACCCCAATCCTGTAAACAGTAAGCAGTGACTCCCCATTTTCCCCTCCTCCCAGCCCCTGGTAAGTAACCTCTAATCTATGTTCTTTCTCTATGAATTTGCCTCGTTGAGATATTTCATATAAATAGAATCATATGCTATTTGCACCCTTGTGTCTGGCTGATTTCTTGTAGCATAATGTTTCCAAGGTTCGTCCAGGCTGGACCATGTGTCAGAGCTCCACTCCTCTTTTCAGGCTGAAAAATACTCAACCGTTCGGTTTTCTCGTATTGTATTTACGTCTTTCCCCATCAGTTGACAGGTGGGTCATTTCCACCTTTGGGCTATTGTGAATAATGCTGCAGTGAACACTAGCATATGAGTGTCTATTCAAGTCCCTGTTTCAATTCTTTTGTGTATAAACCTAGAAGTGGACTTGCTGGGTCATATGGTCATTCTGTGTTTTGTTTTTTGAGGAGCTGCCACACCGTTCTCTGCAGTGCCTTCAGCACTGCTCATCCCTTCCAGCAGCGTGTGAGCCTTCCAGTGTCTCCACACCCTTGCCAACACTTGTTTGTTCTCTCCTTCCTCCCTCCTTCCCTCCCTCCCTCCCTCCCTTCCTTCTTTCTTTCTTCCTTGCCAGACGCTCCCTGGTGGTCTAGTGGTTAGGATTCGGCGCTCTCTCTTTCTTCCTTGCCAGCCTAGTAGGTATAAAGCAATTATCTCCTTGTGGCTTTGATTTCCATTTCCCGAAGGACTACTGATGTTGAGCATCTTCTCCTGTGCTTATTGGCCA